ATCAAATTTTGCATACTGGTAATTTTTCTCCTTCACTGATGTGCGTTGATGAGGCAGCATTGATAGGCTGCACTGATGATGGACATTGATAGGCGGCATTGATGGGTGACACTGATGGGCGGCGTTGACTGAGAGCCCTGACTGATGGCACTGATGGGGGGCACTGATGGGTGGCACTGGTGGGAGGCACTGGTGAGGTGGCCCTGATCATCAGGGCACTGATGATCAGTGTCGATCTCCTCTGTGACAGCTGTGACTGTGACAGAGTGAGGAAAGTGCTGCCGATAACCGGCAACTGTATTTACTTTCCGTAATCTGCTGTGTCTTTGGACACAGCTGATCACGTGGTAAAAGGCCACTGTGATTGGCTTTTTACATCATCACTGAGATCGCCGGGTGCGCGGGAGGGTGCATTCTAGGAGGGACATCATATGACAGAACTGGATAAGTGTGCTGTAGCAGTCATTCAACTATAGTGCGGATACCAAGTGGTTAAACATGTCCAGTAAAAAAATCAAATGTCATCATAAATTTAGGCCAAAATGTATTCTGCTACATGGCTTTGCTAAACAAAAAAAAAAATCCCAATATGTGTAAACTAATTGGTTTACGTGAAAGTTATAGCATCTACAATTGGCGGTGTATATATACTGGAATTTTTTTTTCCATTTTTATTTATACTAGTAATGGCGGCGATCAGTGACCTATAGCGGGACTGCGGCAGGCATTCTGATACTGGGAAGGGAACTGCCTGTCACTGACATCCCCAGTGACACTAATAAAGTGATCAATGCTAATAAAAAGCACTGACACTGTACTAATGCCACTGGGCAGGAAGGGGTTAACATCGGGGGGTGATCAAAGGGTTAACTATGTTCTATTTTTGTATGTGCTGTGTGTGTGTTTCATTGTGTAAGCAGACTGCTTTGTATGGCTCTGCTATGCAGGGCCATACAAAGCAATGTGCAGGAGCTGACAAGGAGAGATCGGTATTGTTTACATTCAGATCTCTTCCCCATCAGTAATTCTGGGCAATCGTCTGGTGCTGGCGGGGAATCCCCAGTCGGGACCCCGTGATCGATAGCTTAGGCTGCCAATGGTGGCGCGGGTAGGGGGTGTGTGTGCCCCCTATCTGGAAATACAAAATCACGTGCATATATACATGATTTTGCGCAGCCCTGCCGCCCTGTAGCAGTATTTCTGCTATAGGGTGTCAGGAAAGTGGTTAATGCAGCTCTGTAATCATTACTATATCAATAAATGTAATCTGTGTAGTTGACCTGATGTAGACCCCCTTATAGTTCTGGAGCATGGGGGCAATAAGCAGTACAAGGAGCAAATCAGTTTGGTTGACAGTAAGCATGCTCCTTTCACTGACCAGTCAAAGGCTGGAGCTGGTCCAGATAACCGAAAAGTGTGTAGAAGGATGCTGGCCGTCAGACAAAGAACATTTAGTGTGGGAAAAATTACTTGAATCTAATCCTCTGGATTGAAGATATGTATTGTAAAAGCTGATTTTGTTAATTTGGAGAATGCTGATTTTGTTATTTTATCTTCTAATGGGCTGATTCATTTCATCTTGTTGTTTTTCACTGGAAATTCTGTTTTGGTATTTGTGAAAGAATGAGATTTGCTCCCTTGTTCAGCTTTACTCCATTTATTTCCTGGATTTGCATTACACTGACATGTTATGCAGCATTTTACAGATTACATAGATTTTTATTCATTCCCCAAAGAAGTTTACAGTGTAATATTCCCACCACACAAAGAGGGAACATACACCCACCAGCCATAACATTATGACCACTTACAGGTAAAGCAAATAACAGTGATCATCTTGTTATAGTGGCATCTGAAAATAGGTGAGATATCATAGACAGCAAGTGAACATGTTGTCCCTGAATTTGATGTGTTGAAAGCAGAAAAAATGAGCAAAAGTAAGGTTTCTGAGCAACTTTGACAAAGGCCAAATTGTAACGACTACATGACTAGGCCATAGCCTCTCCAAAACTGCAGCTCTTGTGGGATGTTCCGGGTCTGCAGTGGTCAGGACCAACCAGAAGTGATCCAAGGAAGGAAAACGGTGAACCGGCAACAGAGTCATGGGCAGCCAAGGCACATTGATTCACATGGGGAGCAAAGGCTGTCCCACGTAGGCTGATCTAGTAGAAGAGCTCCTGTAGCTCAAATTGCTGAAAAATTTAATACTGGTTCCGAAAGAAACAGACAGAGCACACAATGCATTGCAGTTTGTTGTGTATGGGGCTGCACAGCCACAGAACAGTCAGGATGCCCCTGCTGACCCGTGTCCACAGCCAAAAATGCCCACAATGGGCACATGATCATCAGAAGTGGACCACGGATCAATGGAAGAAGGTGGCCTGGTCTGATTAATTCAAACAAAGTTTGAGGAATACAACCACAAGTTTGAGTGTTTGCTTGGCCTCCAAATGCTCTAGAACTCCATTCAGTCAAGCATCTGTGGGATGTGCTGGAAAATAAGTCTGATTCATGGAGGCTCCACCTCAAAACTTACAGAATTTAAAGGGTTATACCTTCAAAAGTCCATGCCATGCTCGACAGGTTACAGCGGATGGTCATAATGTTATGGCTGATGGGTGTAATGACTGTGCAGGTAGTGTCTCTAGTAGAATTCAAACCTATTTTTGACTCATTTTGCCTGGAACTGACCCATTTCAGGGGTCATAGGTTACCTGAATTCTGACAGTCTCTAACTCATAAACTACAAAGTGGTAACGTGAAATTGGCACAATATAAGATAGAATTCTCCTTTCATCTATTTATGCTCCTGATTTATAGAAAGCACCCTTATCCAGTAAAAAGCAAGTTTTACGCATTCCGTATAATACTGCCTGCCCCTGTGCTACATGTGACCAGCATAATTCCATGTTCGCAACTTTGTCTTCTATTTCTAATTTTTTTTTTTTTTCTTTTTTGAAGAAGTGATTTACTCAGCAGGGCAATAAATTATCTCTTTGTTCGCTGCTTGCAGCTGTTGCTAAAAAGCAATCCTTACACTCTTGTGTAATTCAGTATGCTGCGTATTGAAACATGGGGGCCAGAAAACGTATGGTCTCTCCAGCCTCCTGTGGTTTCAATACAATGCCTAGCATTGCAGGCCAATGTGATTAAATACTGCAAGTAAATCTTCCCTCTATGTGAATAGCAGAAAAAGAGACTAAAGGTCAAACATTTTAAGTGCAGTTTTTTTTATTGAGAAGTCCTAATAGAATTATCATATAATGAAATGCAGCTACAGGATAATGTGTTTCTTTTGGCAGATGGGGATGGTACTTGTAGGAAATTCTGAATTTTGTAGCTGCTACATGAGCACAGGATTAGACACTGAGAAAGTTAGAAGAAACAGCCCACACAGTGATTGTTCTCCTTCTTAAACTCAAACTGGCAGATGATATATTAATTAAAAGCTGTAGCTCTGGGGGAGGAAAGTATAATGTGTAAGTTGCATTTGCCACCATGGCGTTCTTGGATCCCCCTGCTGCAGAATTTTGGCTCTGTCTGCTGTTCCGCCTCGGCCCACTTGCTTCTGGTGCCTGTGATTTCCATTTTATTGTTCAGTGCCAGAAATGGACAAATCCAGGAGTCAGTTGTAGAAATCTAATTTGTGAAGATTAACTGAAATGAGCAGAAAAAACTACAAAAAGATTCACACTTTGGGAGCATTGTCTGCCTGGCTCTATGTATATGGCCAGCCTTAGCAGAACCAACATTGAGCCTATCATTTAACTAGGACATAATAAAGTGGTTTGGTGTGTTGAACACTGCCTACCCTGAAGACCACAATGGTCTATCTAAGGCCCCTTTCATATGTGGTGAATTCCGTTCTGATTAGCAGATCAGATCACAGATTCCCTGCCGATTGGAGCAGAGTAGGTAGATGACACAAACATGTCCGCTCAGTTTCTGAGTGGACACAGACAGAGCCCGCTTTGCTCTATGGACAGCTCTATTCTGCTGTCTGTTCACACTCAACTACCCTCTGATCACATACTCTGAATGACTGAGTGCAACTGCGATACTCTACTGTGTTCCAGATATGAGACTGGAAGTCCTGGCTCTGAAACACAGTCTAGAATGCTATATGTAGCTGCAGCTACATACAGTTTATACCACACATCCAGCAGCCTCTCAGGTTAGTGAGGGACATAAGTCATTTCGGCCAGGCTGGCGCAAACGAACTATGTAAAGTACACTATATTGCCAAAAGTATTGGGATGCTTGTCTTCACACACACATGCACTTTAATGGTATCCCAGTCTTAGTCTGTAGGGTTCAATATTGAGTTGGCCCACCCTTTGCAGCTATAACAGCTTCAACTCTTCTGAGAAGGCTGTCCACAAGGTTTAGGAGTGTGTCTATGGGAATGTTTGACCATTCTTCCAGAAGCGCATTTGTGAGGTCAGGCACTAATGTCAGACGAGAAGACCTGGCTCGCAGTCTCTGCCCTAATTCATCCCAAAGGTGTTCTATCAGCTTGAGGTCAGGACTCTGTGCAGGCCAGTCAAGTTCCTCCACCCCAAACTCGCTCATCCATGTCTTTATGGACCTTGCTTTGTGCTCTGATGTGCAGTCATGTTGGAACAGCAAGAAGCCATCCCCAAACTATTCCCACAAAGTTGGCAGCATGAAATTGTCCAAAATGTCTTGGTGTGCTGACGCCTTAAGAGTTCCACTTACTGGAACTAGGGGGCCAAGCCCAACCCCTGAAAAACAACCTCACACATAATCTCCTCTCCACCAAACTTTACACTTGGCACAATGCAGTCAGGCAAGTACTGTTCTCATGGCAACCGCCAAACCCAGACACGTCCATCGGACTGCCAGAGAGAGAAGTGTAATTTGTCACTCCAGAGAGCACATCTCCACTACTCTAGATTCCAGTGGTGGCATGCTTTACACCTCTGCATCTGACGCTTTGCATTGCACTTGGTGATGTAAGGCTTGGATGTAGCTGCTCGGCCATGGAAACCCATTCCATGAAGCTCTCTGTGCATTGATGTTATGCTAATCTGAAGGCCACATAAAGTTTGGAGGTCTTTAGCTATTGGCTCTGCAGACAGTTGGCAACTTTTGCAAAATGTGCGTTTCAGCATATGCTTGCTTTTCTCTGTCATTATACTTGGCCTACCACTTTGTGGCTGAGTTGCTGTTGTTCCCATTTGCTTCCACTTTGTTATAATACCACTAACAGTTGACCGTGGAATATTTAGTAACAAGGAAATTTCATGGATGGACTTATTGCACAGGTGGCAACCTATCACGGTACCACACTTGAAATCACTGAGTTCCTGAGAGTGATCCGTTCTTTCACAAATGTTTGTAGAAGCAGTCTGCATGCCTAGGGGCTTGATTTTTTACACTTGTGGCCATGGAGGTGATTGGAACAACCAAATCCATTTATTTGGAGGGGTGTCCCAATACTTTTGGCAATATAGTGTATATCAGTAGGTGGAGATCAGCTCTAATTCATTTCAGAGCCAATTCTGAGACTTCAAATATGGTTTCAAGGTGAGAAAGTAAGATTGTGGTCTTCGGTATCAAAGGCAGAACTAAGTTCCAGTAGAATAAGAATAACATAGATAATTGTTCAAAGGGGATTCACCTTGTCTGGTGACCATTGTCACGGGGACAGAAATTTATGGGAAACCCCATATTTTTCTGTTTTCAGTGGTACTGGAGGTAAAGCAAAATCTTCCAGTCAGGACACCTGTTCAGGTGACAACCATCTTCTGGGATTCCTATTCACTTTGGAGAGATTTCCTTCTGTGACTGTAGGAAAAGTGACGGGAATCACCCCAACTGTTTATATTTGTTGTTGTGTGCATTTAACATAGGGTTTTGCTTCTATACAGTGCTGTTTTAGACTATTCTATGAGTCCTTTTATATTTCGAAAAAGGTTGTTGTGCCAGTTGTTGTTTTTCATGTATAAAATAACAGATTAAAAAGGTGGTTAAAGATAAAGATGAACCTTACTGATATTTCCTCTCAAACATTGGTGGAACATAAGTATTTGCACAAGATTCAAAACCCGTTCCATTACAATTACTTTCTAGAACAGAAGTGATCAAACAAATATATATAGGAGGCCTCTAGTGTGGCTCTCTATAATCATCCAAGGGCCGAACATAACATTCCCTATAATACCCTCTTCATCCAGGGCACCTTATGGGTTCTTTGGGGGTGCCTTGACAAAATGCCTAAAAATTTCCTCAAATTACCCAAAATTTTCAACAAGCCAGTGAGTGCATCAAGCCTGCCATCAAGCCACAGGGTTTATTGTGCATCGCTACATTCTCTGGTACCAAGTAGGTCAACTGCCTGCATTTTAACAACCAATAACATCATAGGTTTATAAGGAGGATGTCAGGTACCGGAGCACATCCTTGTCTGCCCTAACATTGTCTAATGTTGGGTGTCCTATGTGTTTAGATGCCGCTGCAATATATACAGTTGTGTTCAAAATAATAGCAGTCAGACATCACTAACCTGATCAATCACTGTTTTTGGTAGAAATGATATTTCTACATGGCAAATAATATACTATCAGGTTTAGTAGAGTAATAGAAATCCAACAGACCCAACAGTCATGACATGCATGCTGCTGATTCTGTGTCATTGAATCACAAATTGAAAGGGGCATGTTCAAAAAAATAGCAGTGTGGAGTTCTATTAGTGAGGTCATTCATTCTTTGAAAAACAGATGGCAATTATTGCCCTTATTTAAGGAAGGAAGGCAGCAAATGTTGTACATGCTGGTTACAGTGCATTTCTCTCTGAAATTCTGAGGAGAATGAGTTGTTCCAGACATTCTTCAGAAGAACAGCGTACCTTGATTAAAAAGTTGAAATGCAAAATGCAGTTTCGGAGGCAAAACCAAGAAATAGAGAAGAACCTGTTCACAGGTGCCAGAAGTTGGGTGACTCCATGCAACACAGATGTACAGCAGTTCTCAGAAACAGTGCTTATACAACTAAATATTCATTAAGTGATTCAAAGTAAAGCCAAATCTTCAAACATTTTTCAGTTTATATAGTGAATGTTTGCGTTTGTAAAGAAGAATACAAACACTGCTATTTTTTTGAACAGTCTAATCTTCACTTTTCTTCAAATTTTTTAGAGGAATAACACAAATTTGATATATTTTTCTTCATGTTTTGATTTGGAATAGAATGCATTTGTGTGTATGGAAATAAAAGCTATTAGAAGGATTTTGAGCTTTATTCACTTTTTTCAACACACTGCTATTATTTTGAACACAACTGTAGGTATTAGTTTTGTTTTTTACATTTTAGAATGGGGTGCCTTAAGATTGTGTAGAATTTTAAGGGGTGCCTTGACTAAAATAAAGGCTGAAAAACACTGGTCTTAGGGCAACGCTGCAAACTGTGACTGTCAGAGACTGTGGACATACCATAGTATATGGTCAGAGACTGCGGGCATGCTACTGGGGGCATGTTACACAGGACAGGAGATTACTGCCATTACGGTTTCTTTATAAAGCCCACATTTTTTGCTCACTACAGTCACTTTAAAGTTACTGGCACCACATTTCATATTCTCAGCAAGATTCATTTAAGATCCATTATAAAATATCAGAGAAAAAAATACATAAAACGAGAAAACGAAAAAGTAAGAACATTGAGAGAAATAAGCCAAATTATGTAACTCAAACTAACCAAGTAAGTGATGTAAGTTGGGTAGCACACAAGGTAAACTGACCATGAAAACGCTACCTAGGAAATAGACCTAAAATATGTGTCTCAAACCAAAAGAAGTCAATATGTAATGTATAAATGAGAAATTGATAGATAAAAGACCTATGTGTAGCCCAAAAATTAAAAACCCCTACATTTCTATTTAGGTGTTCACCTGGGGTCATAACTCCCAAGGACCTGAATTAACATGTGCTTATGAGCCACAAGTGATAGCACATACATAATATATGTGACAAATCATATGTATAAGCTCAATACATCAAAAATCTTTGGACATTCTTGGTGATCATAGTGTGCAATCTTATATTTTATGTATACCTTCCAATAATGCTGAACATGTATATGTTGGCATCTCTCTGTGCATTGCTGTGTATAGTTGATATAATAATGACAGAACTGTATATGTGAGATTTGACACAGAGGCTATCCCTCATATTGGATCATTAAAGAATTATGAGAGGGGAAGCCTACCTTTTGGCTCTTTTGGCAAAGGTTGTAATTTCCATTTCAGAGGCCCTGATGCTTGAGGCACAGTACACCTTAGGGTGCCTGCTTTTCACTTGTGAGGCCAGTTTGGGTAGTTTTACTTAGTGACAGGTGCACTCTAAATAAACCATGTCACCAACTTAAAAAATTGCAGGTAAAAGAAAAATTAAGTTTTTAAATTGCTTATTTGTCGTTTTTCCTGTCCATACATTTTTTTTCATAGTCCTCTCCCTCCTTGCATGTCTTTGCCCTCTCCTCTTCTGTAAGTACCTAATTACTCTCTGTGCTGGTCCAGATAATGGATTCCAAGCAGCAGCAACGTGTCATTATTGAATTCTTGACAAAGAAGTGGTGCAGGCTGTCCGAAATCCACAGAAGGCTACAGATTGTAAGCTCTAATGAGCAGAACCCTCTGATCCCTCGAGTTTTAATTTAACGTATTGTAATGTATTGTCTGTCACTATGTTGTAAAGCACTGCGTAAACTGTTGGCGCTATATTAATCCTGTATTATAATAATAATAGAATGTTCACAGAGATGACACCATTGACTAGAGTCACCAGTGACAAGACATTGCTCTTGTCAATGGCATCATCTCCATAGGCATTCTGTAGCCTCCTCTGGATGTTGGACAACCTGCACTCCTCCTTCATCAGGAACTCAGTGACGACAGGCTGCTTCTGCTTGGAATCTATTGTTCATCTGCAGTGACAAAAAAAAGAAGAGTTTTTTTAAAGGAAGAGTTACTCTACCACCAAATTTGAGTGACCTATCTAAGTTAGTAAAAAAAAAAAAAAAAAGGGGGGGGGGGGTTCTAATTGATTTTGCATTACTTTTAATACAGGCCACATATAATCTTATGGGAAGATTTTTGTTGAAACTAGTGGTTTTATTCAGCTTCCATTGTCTTTTTAGTCCTCCTTTTTGTAGTTTCTTTTTCACATTGCACAGAACTAGAAGCAAATTAATTAAAATGGGTTTAAATTGCAGTGAAAACAGACCTTGAGCTTTTCATCTGCCTTTGTTGACTAGAGCATAAAAAGACAAACTCTAGAGAAAAATTGCAAAATACAAAAGAAAAATGCATAATGATGCTAACATTCAACCTGCATTCTGCTTCAGTTTTTACTTCTGTTTGGAAAGAAGAGGTTAAAGAGAGGCATACCTGAAGTATAAGACGTCTATTAATATATTAAATGTTTTTGTGTTAAAAGATTTCCAGCTCTCAATGCTGCAGCAGTCCCTTTCTCACATTCGCTCGGTGAAGCTAAATTTCTTTTTGCCCCATAAACACCTTGGCTCTGGTTCTTAGCATGTTAATGGCGTTTATGGCCTCGCTTACAGAGCTGTGTTTTCTTTGCAAATGAAACATGAAAGCTATAAAACAGTGAACACTTGCCATGAACTGTCCTCATTACATTCACATGCCATAAATATTCGCTTCTACTCACACTTATTATTGCAAATTGCAGTTAAGAGAGAACTCCGCTGAGCCTTATTTTTATCTGAGTGCTCACAGAAGACCATCTTATTGTAGGAAAACAAATGTAGGAAAGTAGCGCAATGAACACAGCACCTATTGTAACCAATCACAATTCCTCTTATACTGGCCTGACTATAGTAAAGTTAATTCGGATCAGTTGCTATTAATCACCACACTTTGCTCATTGCTTGTTTGGTTTTTGATTTTATATATGAAAAAAATAACTCCTCAATAGCATTGTCATAACCAAGCAGTCCTAAATCAAGAACAAAAAATACTTAAAGAAAGTACATGGGCATAAAAAAATGTACCAAACAGGCAGATCTCCTGTGGAGAGCCTTGGATTTCTGAAACACCTGACAGACAGGGTCTGGCCCCTTCCTGTCAAGTTCTACACTTTACTGTGTTAGTGATGCTGTCCATCACAGTGATGGGCCAATATTTAGGTGCTTATGAAAGGAAGATGCCAACCATAACGGCTGGGCATTCTACAGTAGTTTAGAGCAGACCGGAAGGCATGGAGATCCCACCTGTAAAGTGTTAGTGTTTTATGCCCATAGATCAATTAAACGGGAAACACTATAATGTCTTCTCTTTTCTCTCTTCTATTTTCTTTTTTTTTTTTCTCTCTCTTTTCACTTTTCTTTCTTT